AACCCTGTGGGGACTAGTCCAGGCATTCTCCAGGAGTCAAGACTGACTAAAAAACACCTGCCCCCCCCCCAAAACTACCCTACCTTTATAGTTATAAAGCTACTTCATTATATTCTACCAGACATATTCCAGGATGTCTTTTCAGGTTCCCAGTCTAGTTCCCAGCCTTGGAATTTCTTGTGGTTTTCCATTCAAGTATTAAACCTATTTCACTTTTCTGAGACCAGCCTAAGTTAGCTAAGTGCTTCCATCTGCTGTGACTTAACATCCCAGGTATTGATAAAAACATGTGTTTCTTCCTTCAAATCACCATAGTGCTCTATTTGGAAGAGCACTATGTTTTGTGTGTTTTAAGTAATTTAGCAGGGTGAACAACTTAAACTCCTAGCATCACATGAGGATCCTTAAAACCCCTTTAGCAAAGATTTGCTAAGGATAGCAATGCTGTTCCCATCATATGGAAGAAAGCTGTAATCCAGACCCTAAAATAGAACTGACATGAGCAAATTCAGAGAAAATAAAACAAAGATGCCCTGCCAATATACCTGACACAGTTTTACTCATTACAGTACTACCTCTCTCTCTGCAAAAAAACATACATTAAGAATGAAATGATCTGCAGCTCCTGGACACCAAAAAGATTCACACATAGATGGGGGGGGGGGATCAGCCTGCAGGAAAATCTATAAATGAGTGTAGTCAACAGATGGCAGTCTTAACACAATGTTTACATTTTCTTGCACACCCAGAAACTTACAGCTATTGCGTAAGTTTTCTGTTGATCTAATAAAGATATAATCCTGATATATTGTTTTGGATATAATTTGGGTTTTGTTCCTTATGGGCCACAGATCAGCTTTTGCTTTTCAAATTAATATGTACATTGCAGACTAAATTGCATCTTCAGCTTGCAATCCATGTGACAATATATTAACATTTTCAAGAGTTTTGAGTTCCCACAATATAATTAACCTGGGTTTCCAATTAACCTTTCTGGAGGGTTCCCACAATATGTTCAGCAATAAACTAATAAAACAGGCAGTTTGCACAACATAAGTCAACATAAGACACACACAAAACTGCAATTCCATATTTAACAAAACTTAGCATGTTGAGCAAGAGCAGTTGCAATTGCCAGGTGAAGAAAATCATGTTTGGGTTGTAATAGCATCAGAGCTACAGAGGGGGTTTTTACATTTTTTTTTTTTTTTTTACTGATACCTAGTAGTTCTCTGGCTTTTCACAGAGCAGATACAGTAGTCCTGCTTTAAGAGTCTTGTTGTGTCTTACCTATTTTTTTTTTAATACCCATATTAAGTATAGTCAAAGCCTCCCCTTTATGAAAGGAGATTGGAATTGTAGAAATAAGAGCATAGAAAGTCATATACAGTAGGATAAGTTGCAGTTCCAGCTCCTAAGTAAAATAAACTTTATAGAAAAATTGGAACACTGCTGGGCAGTCCTATCTAGGGTGTAAAAATCCAGACAACCCCTAGATGGAAGTAGATGATGATGATGATGATGATGATGATGATGATGATGATGATGATG